GGCTCACAGCACACACAAATAGTAAATGGCCTGTATTTGATTTGGCACCTTCTAGAGTCCTGGAACCCCCCAAGGCGCTTTACAACACAATCAGTCATTCACTCATTCAGACACACATTCACACACTGGTGGGGATGAGCTACAATGTAGCCACAGCTGCCCTGGGGCGCACTGACAAAGGCAAGGCTGCCGAGCACAGGCGCCAAAGGTCCCTCTGACCACCACCAGCAGGCAACGTGGGTTAAGTGTCTTGCCCAAGGACACAAGGACAGCGACAGACTGAGCGGGGCTCAAACCTGCAACCTTCTGATTACGGGATGAGTACTTAACTCCTGTGCCACCGTCGCCCCAACACAAACACGAGTTGGATCCGTCTCCAGGTGGAGGAGTCGAACAGAACCACTGACTGATCCTTTGCTCCTTCATGTCTTTTGGATACTTTTGAAGGTTTGTTCAGAGAAATCTTTATGCAGACTTCCTAAAGTAAAACGCAGGTACACCGTGGCTAAATCCTTTTCCTAGAGTGCACATAAACTGGTGAAATTTAGAAACCTGAAAAAGTCAATCTGCTCTGGGGATGGCACTCAGACAAGCCACATGGGTTAAATCATAGTTCATGAAATAATTCATGAACTTGGTAAGCCTCAATAAAAACTAATACAAGCACCGTTTCTGGGCATTTTCTGAAAGTTATTAGAAGAATGGGTAAACAGTTTTTGGCTAATCTAAACAAGCAGCTGCAGATCACAAACTCACATGCACAGCAACAAGTTAGAGTAGAAAAGGTTTGTGTCAGTGTGATTAAGAAACCGTTGCATTTATGTGACTAATGCAGCTTGTTTGGATGGTTGGTCTGAGTAAAATAAATTACCCAGTTAAACATCCATGAATATTATATTATTTCTAAAGCAGTAAGGTGCTTTGGGTACAAGCTTATTATGTTACCAAAGATGACTTAGAAGTTAGTAAATGTGCTTTTCTGCTTTTACAGCAGTTTGCCTCAAATACGTAAAAATGTTTTCTTTGGTGGATTTTGAGTGAAATCGATTTATCATAGACAAAGTGGGAAGTGCGCTAACAACAACAACAACCTATCAGTGGATTATAAATTTGTTTAGAAGAAGACCTGCAACCTTATTTTTAGTGATGCTTAAACGAAGCCCGGTTCTCACAACAGAATTTTTAAGCTGTATAACAATTTTCTACCGAATCCCTGTGTGGTGATAAAACATCACGGATTTACCAGGTGTGTTGTGAGCAGCACCTCAGCAATTACTACACATGCACCACTTTCACTGATGGAAATTTCCCACTTATATGAGAAATCTTGTGACGTAAAATGTGACTGAAGTAAACAAACACGGCGGGGAGGAGTGTTTGTCTCTGAAAATCAGACCAAGACAATCCAACATGTTTCATTTAGAGCAGTCCATAAATCCTTCCAAGTGCACCAGAGCACACAACAAATGGTAGGATTATCTGATAGTCGGGTTCATTCTTAAAATTGTCAGAATGGGAGGATCGGGTCAAAAATCGGCACAACGATCCTGCCATGTGAATTGGGCTTTACTATTTGCACCTGTAGCCAGAATATGAACGGGAGAGTCCTAAAACCACCTTTTCCTGTTGTCATCCTCGGGCTCTTTTGGTCAAAGTTACAAGGAGTTCCTTGACGAAAGCACAAGAGTAGCAAGGTGCCCATCACAGCCCAGATTTTTATGTATAAGTTAAACTTTGAAATACTAAACCTTTTAAAACAGTTATTATTTAGCAAATCTGTGCATTAAAGTTTTTCCAATAAACTTAAAGCTTAAACTAAGAGAAATGCATTGTGTGACAAGGATTTAAGGTGGTTTTAATGTAATGGAAAAGACACAATAAGGTCTACAAAAAGACTTTTCGTGTTAAAGTATGTGGAACTTTATTTGGTGTTTAAAGATCCTGTTTATTCAAATATATCTGGTCTAAGATTTATGAAATGCATTAAATAAAAAGGGAAAATGATTTGATTAAATGCAAGATTAATGTCTGCACATTTTAAATCATTTTATCTGCAATTTTTTAATTATACTTACAGATAAAAAATGATACAGCTCTGTTTCTGTTTTTGCATCCTTACAAGTCTATTGTTGTATTGTTTGTTGTTGCATCAGAGAAAATTCCCAGGCTGGGATGAAAAAGTACATCCATCCATCCATTTAAACGTTGTGAATCCTCAGAAGCCTACAGAGCAAGCCACGGCTGTAAACCCAAACACATGCGATTGTGTTTATCAGTTCCAGCTGTTCGTACAGTCAGGAAAGCATTCACACTCTTAAAAGCAGAAAAGTGACTCATTCTTCCACAGTCTCACCAGTGAACAATGCTCTCTCAGTCCTATCAAAGGTTGCTTTGCAGCAAAATACTTTTTTCCCACCAATGCAGTGATGCAACACAAGCCAAGTTGTGTCCTGTAAGGCACCTTTGTACAGGATGAAATACATATTTCTTTTAGCAGTGTGAGTCTTGGATGCCAACAATTATGTGTTAGACTTGGCTTTCAGACAGAGTCCAAATAAAGTTGTGATTATGATTGGCACTGGCAGCCCAGCTGGGGAGAAACAGGTGTTGTTCATTGGCTCGCACCGATGTGACCACTGCCGAGGGGCTTTGCGATTGGCGGAGGAAAGACACCGCCACCCTGGGAAGAAGCCACTGATGCCAGGCATGTTTGTGGGCATGGGTTGGACATGGCGAGGGGGAGGGGGAAGAGGGTGCAACGAAGAACAGACCACCTGGATCACAAGCCTCAAAGGCCGGCCTGACACAGTCAATGTGACCAACGGTGAACAGAAGACAGCCAGTCTGCTGACTTCCCCTCTCTTGCATTTTCACTGGCAGCTTTCCAAAAAAACACATGCTGTCCAGTAAGACTTTCAGAAAGGAAGTGCAGCTTGGGTTTTTCCACCCGGTCCAGATAGATTTATTATTTTAAATCTGCCCACTGAAAGGAGAAAGTGACTAAAATACACAAAAACACAAAGAGTAGTAACATTTTGGGTCTTTTACAACTCTACACCAACTGCCATAAATAATCTGGGACTACTAACGTAGAACAGAAACTCATTTGGTTAAGAAATAAAACACTATGAGGAAGGACTTACGCTTTGCAAATAACTTTTGTAGCGTAAATAAAGCTGTTGAAAAAAGAAGTGTGGTGATATAAAAAGGAAATTCACACGGTAAGAGGTCCTCGTGTGCTATCACACTGGCATCAACACCCAGCCTGCACAGACGGAGCCCTCCATGGAGCGAGGCTGGCCTGAACTGACCCTGACACTCTGTCTCAGTCAGGTCCAGGAATAAGCTCCAGAAGTGGTGCAACAGGAGCATTTTCTTCACTTTTATTTTTGTTGCTTCTCACTTTTCTAATTCTCACTGTGTTTTTCTTGACTTTTTCTTTCTTTCTTTGCTTGACAAAAGTTGTTTTTCCTGCCCCCGCGACCCTGCATCCTCCCATGCAGGATCACTCTGCCATGACTAACAATGTTCCTTGGGGTGAGAGGAGGGAGCGAGTCCTTCTTTTTTCTTGTTCCCTCTGAGGGCGCAGCCCGGAGGAGGGAGCAGAGAAAAAACATCCAAATTCAACAGCGGACAAGGGCGCTGCCAAGTCAGCAAACTAATAGAAGGAGGCCATTTTGACAGATAACTCACATCCACACACGTCTCTTCATTACCACACACACACAAACACACTTGTGTTTCATCTGGACCCAGCTGGAGGTGAATAAAGCTTGAGCATCATGGCTTCCAGCAGACCTTCCCCTAAATGAAACTGTCCCTTTTATTAGGACTATCAGAGCAAAACAGTGCAGATGACAAGAGTCCAGCGGTCATAGGTTGCCTTGGAGACAAATAACAGATCTTTTATAAACTCAATCCCACAACTGGAGACATAATTAAATGGACAATTGGATCAAATGGTCAGCGTCAGTGAAAAGGAGGGGATGTAAAGCAAGCCACACAACAAAACATGTTAGTGTTCGTCAGTTTTTATACCTTTAATCCTTCTCCAAATCACACCTCTGTGTATGGATTTAAAGGTGTGGTTCTCTGAAAAACTATTTTTTATAATTTTTTCTGATTATAATCAGTCAATCTGACTTTTTCATGCTGGCTGAACATGAAAATTGTCTCAGACACCTATCTCCTGCATTAGCATCTGAAAAGCCTGACATCTACGTCACAATGTCACTTAAAGGAGACATAACATGCTTTTAAGTTATTCCTTTTTACATCTAAATCCTTCAGTTGGGGTCTAAATACAGTGGAACTGCAGTTCTTTGGTCTGATTTCCTCATTATTGTTGCTCTACTGACCCTCATCTACCCCTGTTCTGAGGAGAGTCTTGAGAACGAGCCGTTTTTGGGTACTGTCTCTTTAAACTGGAGGAGGAGCTGTAAACTCCGCCCCCCTCCATAGTGCAGACCTGTACTCTCCTCCCCCAGTCGGACTTTGTAGTTCTATAGAGAAATCATTATTTAGCATAGCATATTAGCATTTTTAAAACATGTGGGGAGGGTAGTTCATCAAGCTGTTTCAAGGCTGCTAACTCTCTCATGCATTTGTCTGTAGTCACTCACACACACCCGTCACGGCCGACGGAGGGACAAGCTAGCAGGCACGTGCGCGCGCACACACACACACACACAAGGAATGCTGCTTGCTTATTTATTTCTATAAAAAATGTTTTAAAAAATGATACAGCTCATTAAAACACCATTAAAAGAATACATTTTATTAAGATCTCTATCTATATATACATACATATAATTATAAATAATTTTATAAGTAGTCTTATTTTATATTGGGTGTCTTAATGGCTGAAAATGGATAAAAAGCAGTTACATTTTAATTTAAAGATTTGAGATTCGAGTCAAAAATAAAGAACATTCCTCCAAATGTTCTTTAATGTGATCATTATAATTCTAATGCTTACAACTTTGTTTTTATTGTCTGCAATGCGTAGCCTATATCTTTATTAAATGTGTTTAGCTGTAAAGTGGTAATTCTCTCTAATGTGTACAGAGAGGTGGACATCAATGCTGCAGTGAAATTCCCAAGATCAGTCTGCTTTGCTAACAAATATAGTTAAATCTTACCTGCATTCTAAATAAATACCGTTAGGTGGAAACATCAGTAGGCATTGAGTTATTGATACAATCCCTAACAGCCAGAATGGAAGAAGAGCATGCTGGGTCATCCTGGACCTGAGCCTGTTCTGTGTATTTACCTACAGGATGCAATAAATGTCTACAAGGCTGAGTTTGGACCATTACATCTAAAAGAAAACATACAATCAGTGATTTTTTTATTGTTTACATTAAAATACAAATTTTCTAAGTATTAACCTCACAGCAAATAAGTAGAACAATATAATAAACAGGCTTTAGTAGTTAAACAGGCGTTGTGCACACAGGTGCTTTGTGTCTCGGTGCTGGTGGTGTCTAGGTCTCAGAGTTCCTGTCCTCCTGCCGTCTTCTGTTGTCCTCAGGATACGGATTGATGTTTCCTGATGATGAGGGAGGGGCAGTATGTGGGCTTCAAACTGGTCCTGGACAACAGTGGGAGACCTCCGTTGTCTGAATACTGAGACCAGAGAGTTGGTGAGATGCAGATCTTCTCTACCTCATCTAGAAACGGAGTTGGTTCAGGGAAAACTTTTCCAAAGACCAGTTCCATGATGTCATCGTCATATTCTGCAATGATAGACAATAACTTTAATGACATATTTTGTTTACAAGCAGCTTTAGGAAAGTTGTTTCTTTAGCTTTCATGTTTATAGTCACGTTTGTGTTGCTGCAGTGACTTCATATTCTTACAAATGTAATAAAATAGTGACACTAAAATTATACAAATGATTCCTTATGAAAGGAAGCTCATTAGAGAGCAGTGCAGACAGACTTACTACTCTATTAAATCCACTGTGTTGACGCACTTTAATGACTTTGTCACGCTGCATTTTAGCTGATATGGGACATTATTTACTGGATGCTAAGATTACATCACACTCATGTAGAATAACACACAGGCTCTCTGCTGTTACAATCAGTGGGAGGTTATCATCTGGTGTAAAAGAAGGCGTTGATCAGAAATCACGTTTTATTCCACGAAAATCAGCCAAATCCACATTAATCTGGGTGCTAACTTTACTAGCATACTGTGCTAGCGATAGCAAGCCGGATGCTAACGCTTTAGTGCTGCTAATGCCCGTAAATCTAAAGTAAAGTTTGTCGACATTTTAGAGTGATATGAAGCTTACCGCTCTGCTGCTGTGTCCCGGTGCTGCCACATTCAGATAAAAATGACTCCTTTTAGATAGATGAAGCCCTCAGTACTTACTAGCCTGGAGACACGAACGAACGAACCACGCGCACGCGCGCGCACACACACACACAAACACAAACACACTACTTTTTCTTCTGTGTTTTTTTAGCAGTAGTGTCATCAGCTCCTGGGTTTAAATACTGCCACACCAACCTTCCTTAAAACGAGGAACAGTTTTGAGCTGTGTGTGGCTAAAATAACCAGACATTCTGCATTTTTCCAATAGGACTACAAAAAATCTTAGCGAGAAGAAAAAATGGCGGATTGGCTCTGTGTTTAGCCGAGGGCCATTACCATATTTGGTAGTTATCCTCACTAAATTAATTACTGATGTAATAGATAATGTAAAAACTGAACGGGTGGACAAATATGCCCAAAACGTAATTATTAAATATCTAAATAGCAACTCCAGTGAATAATATAAGCCTTTTTGCTCACTTAGACACTTAAAATGTGAAACACACCGTGTTAATGGATAAAAAAGTGGGTTTTTCATGTTATGTCTCCTTTAACGTCCATAGACTCACCCACCTTGACTTGCAATGGGGAAGGCTGTTGTTGGTTTAGCACGCAGAAAACAGCAGAGAACATCTCAACTACTAGAAGCTAACCGTTAGCATTAGCAACACCACCACATAGCAGAAAGTCTTACAGGCTGGTGTTATTTGTGGAGGTAAAACATTAAACGTCGCAGAGCAAACCGAGTCAGTGCACTGTTAACCCAGATTTTGTTTCTAGTTAAACTTCTGAGTGATCATTACTTATACAGTTATGTTTTTTAAAAACCTGCTATGATTACTAAACAATTTTAGTTGATTGTGCTTTTTAGCTGAAATAATAAGGGCCACTGATACGGTTTAGTAGAGATAACTTGGTGCGTTTAGTTTTATAACAAAGGGGAGGGGCCTAATTCAAAACTTCACTGGGCGCCCCACAAGGCCTCTGCAACGGATCCAACGCAAACTCGGCGGGAGGGAAGAAAGCAGACTGTTGTCGACATTTTCTCAGCAGCATCAAACTCCTTGAACGGTTAGTATGAAAAATAAGTAGTATAAATATCTTTGTGGGAACATGCAGCACTAAAAAGCTTGGAGGTGTTTTTTTTTTGTGCTGTCATGTTACTGTACGGTTTAAACTTTATGTATGTCTGTAGGCTACTTGTTGCCAGCTAGAGTCCATCTATTATTGTCAGCAGAATAATAGTTAGATTTAGTCAGAGGAAAATCGGGTTATTCTGTAAATTTTCTTCCTCGTGAGTCGAAAAATGTCAAACCGGTTTGAAATTCACTTCACCTCGTGAAGCGGAAAACTCAGAACATTTGGCTTTCTGCTAAACAAAGGCCTGCATTGCGGCTAGCTAACAGACTGCTCTTCGTGTGTAGCAGGTTTAAGTTCAACTGCTGTCGGGGGGAGAAGAGTTTAGCAGCCTGGCGCCTCCGCTGTGGAGGTGTTTGTGTCATCGACGCAGCGAGCTGCACACCACTCAAGCGCTCCATCAGAGGCGGGGTTCCACATCAGCAATTCAGGGTAAGTTGACCGGGGAACGTCTCCTCCACAGTCGCGTGTTTCCATAGCGTCTGACGAGCCGAGCAGGGTGTTTTCGGGGCCATGTCAGGAGCCATCCGAGTCCGTGAATGCAGATATGAACTCAGCAGCTCTTAAAAATGGCCTAGTAAAGACGCAGGTAGGGAGATTTGCTCATACCAGTTGGTTTTAATTCAGGGGTTAAAGTAGCTGACTTCCATTAAATATCATATAAGAGTTCTGCTTCTGATACACTGAAACGGCTGTGAAGTCGTCGCAAAATAAGAATTGCTAGTGAAGCCGTTTAACAGCAAACAGAACCACAGCAACCATTTTTGCTTCTGCCATGTTAATCTTTCGCGCTGTGGGTGCCTTTTAGCATGGATTAGTAATAACAACGCACTTTTCATGACTCCTGCATGTTCTTAAAAATGCATTAAAAGCATTGAGTTTATACATTTAGACATAAGTCATTAAAGAGCAAGTAACGTCTAAATTAACTTTTTTTTGCTGATGAACTGTATAAATGAGTGTCTAATAGTGTTTTAAATGTGTGCATTCTTTATTTTAGCATTTTGGTGCATTTTCTTTAAAAATTAAAAATTCTGTCTAAAAACCACAGTAATGCGCCACCTTCAGCTGAAAACATAGAATTTGAGTCATTTTGAATAAATTTTAGCCAATGGCTAAAGAGTAAAGTACTACGTAAACCAGTAGAGTACTACGTAGCAGCTCCGTGCCAAAGTTATAAAAGCAACGAGAGTCTCGGCCACGCCCTGTGGCGCGTGGGAGTTGGATTTGCAAGCGAGCGTAGGAGGTCAGCGGTAGTTCAGCATTAGCATATAGCATTAGCATATCCTAGTCTTAGCATATCTTTTAGTGTTATAAATACTTATTTAGTGTTAGCTTGGCTGTTGGATATTGTAGTTTAGTTAGTGTTTGGCTGTTAGTGTAATTGGGAAAGTATTTCGGGTTTAGTGCTCCATATCGTGTTAGTATTGGTGAGTAGGTGTAGTGTAGTATGCTTGCGGTGACTCTGTGGGCATTTTACCCGCGATTCTGCACGTCTCCGTTTGAAGAGGGAGGCTGCCCACCGTGGCTCTTCCGCGATTTAGATGCAGCCCACCGACTCTGCTCCCCCACCACGGCGGGCTCCAGTCTGAGGTGAGTCAGCTAAATAAACGTTTTAACATCTTCTAAAGACAATTCCCTACCTAAATGCAAAGTCTGAGAGACGTGGTTCACTTCCTTTAGCTAGTCAGTCGGCAATTCTGCAACAGTGGCTCTAACTGACGCAGCACTAGTTGACAGACAGCATTACAGCGTGAAATCCAGCTTGTGAACAGGTTCTGTGAGGAATTCTGTTCAGGAGGTCGCATTTCAGGCTCTCCACATCATGTGTGACTGACTTTTACGTTATAACAACGATCACACACTAGGAATGTTATAAAGCGCCTATATAGGAGATTCTTTTGTATATTATCTGACTTTATAAACTCCCAACAACAATGTGCTTCTATTTTTTTTTTCAGGCTAAATCTACCCAAGACACTGGCTGTCAGACTGATTTAGCTGCAAGAATGCACTTGTCCAGGCTGATGTGAAGCCTTCCCTGTAGCAAAGGTGAATTATTTTTAATAATCTTCTATGTAAACATTTTATTATCACCTTCTAGTTTTAATTTGTTTTACAGATTATTGTTACACGTGATTTTATGCTCTTTTAAACATTTATAAATGTGCTGCTTCTTTGTTTTTACATAGCCAGCCAGTTTAGAGCTCCCAGCCTCAGTGTGTCTGGTGACCCACGGGGACCATGATGAAAATTCATCTTCCAGAAAGTCCCAGAGCGTCCAGACCTCCTGAAAAGACCAAGATGTAAGGTGTCTGCTGTTGATTCCAGCTTCCACCTCAGTGACAGTGCAAGCTCAGTGAACTGTTCAAGGTAAAAAAAAAATTAAAACATTTCAGAATTTTTAAGATATTAACAATTAAATAAGTATGTGATTACATCATGACGGAGGCTACTGATTCTGGCCCTGTGATACTTGGTGGTGACGTGTGAGCTGATTCACCTGGAAAATAACTTTTACATTAAATATTTTGTTTTTGTTATCAAAAGTAAATTAACTAATAACCTGCATTATTGCAGGACACTCAGCAAAATATGGACTCTACACCATGAGGCATGCACACATTAATACTCTATAAGAGCACATAAGGTGAGCAACACCACATATTGTACACTGTCCTGAATTTGTTTTCTTTCTGCATCTCATTAGCCTGGCTGATCACCTGATAACTCCTGTCATCTGGTTATGACAGCATGAGGATGTCCTCACACACCTGTAACCTATCAGCTCATCCTGCTGAATAGAGAGAGAAGAGACAACACCACATCTCCTGTTCCTGGAAAGCCTTCAGCCATCCTTCGATGACTGAGAACCTCCATCAGCTCTGTCTCCTGTCTGCCTACAATTATTATAATAAATATTGTGTTTGACAAGTTTTTTGTGCTGCCAAATATCTCATTTAGATTCCAGTTTTGATATTTTAATGGATATTTATAAATTACATTGATTATCACATTTTTGTTGCATGTTTAACTAGCTATTGTGATTAATTAAACTAGCACCTCACTGTTAAAAGCTCGTTTTAATTTCAAGCATGTTTAAGTATTTATGGACATGAACAAAAACAGGAAATATATAAATTGAGATTTATTTAATTAATATAACAAATAAGGGGGAAAGAGTCATTGAAAGGCACATTCTTCTGGAAGCTCCTGATCCTGAAGACACCAGCAGAGACCAGCTGCAGACACCAGAGACCACCTGCAGACACCAGAGGACCTAGAACCGAGAGAGCAGCTGTTATTAGTAAATAAATAAAGAAATCAGGGCAGTTTTAGTGGGCTGAACACATTACAGAATAATTTTCTCATGGGGTATTTTCATAACTTTATGCAGCAGACTGTAACTTGAGCCCAGAGCTACCGGAGAGCTGCTATCCAGCACGTTTCAGTGGATTTTCCTGCTTTAACAGGTTAGATTAGCTGTTAAGCAGCTCAGCTATTTGTTGCTGATTAAAACCAGGTGTGCTGAAGCAGATAAACCTCTAAAACATGCTGAATACTAGCTTTTTAGGGCCGTGGATACAAACCCTGCAGCTAATCCAATGCTATGGCTAACGGCTACTTACCTTTCAGAGGTGATTCTGTTGGGTCGGTTCTGGGAGTTTCAGGCAACTCACAAGCTCAAAACAATAAGACTCAGGTCCGCTTGTCTCCTCCAAATAGACTTGGTCCCTTTCTTCTCGAGTGTCTGTGTAAGGAGGGGGGAGAAACGTCCTCCACTTCTAATAACTGCTCAAGAGTGAAGGGAGCTAGCTTCGTCTAGTTAGCCATCGTCTTCGTCACTGCCGCGGCTCCGCCCTCTCGGTCCTCCAGGCAACGCCTACTAATGTTGCATTTTTTAAAATTGTTACGTGGGTGGAGAAGGACTCCGAGGCTCAATTGACCCGCTCTTTAAAGAAACTTTCAAAAGCATTGAATTTTGATATGTGTTGTAAAATTTGTTCTGTAATTTATTTCTATTCAATTTTTCCCTAAATGTTTAATTTGTCAACCACAATTACTTTGATATAATAGGTTAACATAAATTTATATTTGCTGTATCAACGATTTAGAACACTATGACTACCCAGGTCAGAAACTCAGAACACAATGTTTTAGAGAAATGATTAACATAAAAAAATGTAATGATAAAAAAACAACGTAACATTGTTAGACAAACTTTCTTTTGGCCTTCTGAAGTGTTCTTTCATTTTTCACAACTCTGCTCGGCTTGTCATCAACTTTTACAGGTACTGCCACCTTTCATTTTTAACATCAAACTTCTTAAAAAGACTTTAACTAACCTGTAGGAACTCTGTTCTCGTTCCCCCTCACTCTCTCTTACCTATTAACGTGCCAGTTTTATGGTAACACATATTTTGGTTCTATTAATTTTTTGTTTTGTACAGCAACATTATTTTGGTCTGACAGTTTTTGTTGTTTTATGTTTTACAGATCCTTGTGTTGTGAAGATGCTGTGGCAGTGTAAGTATTGTGAGTTTATGTGTGAGAAAAGGGGTTACCTTTTAAAACATTACCGGTTAAAACACGGAAACTATGGAAGAACAGCCCCATTTCCCTGTGTACATCAAGAATGTGTGTGCACATTCAACTCCATGAATGCACTCAAGGTTCACTTAGCAAAGATCCACCAAAAAACCCATGGTACACAGCCACAAGTAACCTTTCAGTGTCAGTCATGTGACTTTTCTGCACCCTGCACAGAAGCAGTCTTCCTCACTCACCTGCGCAGTACACATCTGAAGGTAAATCACAGAGTCCAGTGTCCATTTAATGCCTGTAACTTTCATACCAGTGTGTATTCTACATTTAATGCACAGAGAAGTAAAGAGCACAGAACACTCAACTGGAGGATGTTCAGGCCAGAAATTGTTGCTGTAACTAATGAAATGACACAAGAAAATAACGAGCCTCCCAATGACACCTCTGAATCGGAAGACGATGAGGATTCTACCAGTGAAGATCTTCATGATTTAGAAAAGCAGCTGGAGCACAATCTTGCTGCTCTTTTTTTAAAGATGCAAACAGTGCTACACATTCCAGAAAATACAGTACAAGAAGTTATAAAACAGCTGGTACAGATTTGTGATCTAGCCCAGCCACTGCTGCATAATGCAGTCAAGGACATTCTCAAACAACATACAGATGTAGAAGATTCTGTTGTGGAAGAATTAGTAAGGGCTGCTGAAAAAGGTAATGTAATAATGAAATTCTGTGGCAAGAATGGCCCCTTATCAACTACCAAAAGGAGAGCAGCATATGTGAATAAAAACTTTACAGAGGTTAAACCAGTAGAGTACCTTATTGAAAGAGGGAAAACATGTAGTGCTGTATATGTACCTTTGCATCCAATGCTACAGAAGATGTTGAATAGGGCAGACATTTTGGATAAAGCTCTTCCCATCCAAAAGCATGTGCAACATGAGTACAGTTCATACAGAGATGGTACATACTGTAATGAAAATCACCTCCTTAAAGGGGATGAATTCAAAATCGCTGTTGGACTATATACAGATGATTTTGAAGTGTCCAACCCTTTGGGAACATCTAGAAAGAAACACAAAATGAGTGCAGTGTATTGGGTGATAGCTAATGTCCCGTCAAAGTACAGATCCACACTCCACTCCATCCAGCTTGCTGTCTTGTGTAAAGCCTCTTATGTGAAAGAATTTGGCTATGCAAAAATTCTCTATCCACTCATTCAAGATCTTGCTTCTTTGGAGCAACATGGTGTCTATGTTGAGAAGTTGGGAGAATGTGTTAAAGGGACAGTTGTATATGTGGCTGCAGATAACCTGGCTGCTCATTCTCTGGCAGGATTCTTCGAAAGCTTCACGGTGGACAGATTCTGCAGGTTCTGCATGGCAACAAGGGATGAGATGCAAGCCAAAGAGGTAAATTCAGGTGCTTTTGAACCCCGCACTATTGATGTTCACAATCAGCAGGTGCAAGAGGTAAAGCAGGATCCTACTAAGGCAAAACAATATGGTGTTAAAGGAGAATGTGTACTGACTAATGGTCTGGAGCATTTTCATGTTGTCCATGGGTACCCCCCCGACATCCTCCATGACCTTTTGGAAGGGATTGTTCCTGTTGAGCTATCGCTCTGCATTTCAAACATGATTTCTAAAAGATATTTCACCATAGACATCCTGAACCATGCCATCAAATCTTTTGAATATGCCTTTGATGACAAAACTGACCAGCCTCAGCCAATTTCCCACAGCTTCTCTACCAAAGGGACCATTGGTGGCAATGGCCATGAGAACTGGGCTCTACTTAGGCTGCTCCCACTTATCATTGGCCATAAAGTCCCTGAGGGAGATGATGCATGGAACATTTTACTGCTTCTAAAAGACATTGTTGAGTTGGCTGTTGCAACAAAGCACACTGAAGAGTCAGTACATTTCCTTGACTGCAAAGTGTCAGAACACAGAGAATTGTTGCAAACAACATTCCCAGATTTTAGATTACGGCCAAAACATCACTACCTCGAGCATTACCCCGAGCTCATCAAAGCATTTGGACCCCTTTTAGATGTTTGGACAATGCGATTTGAGGGGAAACACAAATTCTTCAAACGGGTCATACGTAATGCCCACAACTTCAAAAATGTAGCTCTGACCTTGGCTGTTAAGCATCAGAAAATGATGGCTTACTATTTGGACACAAGTTCATTTTTCAGGCCATCAGTTGAGATGGACAAGGTCACTACAACATCAATCAGATCTTATCCTGAGGATGTCCAACAGGTTTTCTGCCAGAAAGTTCCTCAGCTTACATCAGTGCTTGTGGCATCATCAGTCTCTGTAGATGGAGTTACATATCATTCTGGCATGATAGTCTCTGTTGGTTCATGCGCTGGGCTCCCTTCATTTAGGCAAATCAAACAGATAGTGGCACTCAACACTGAGATCCTGTTTATTTGTAATGAGATGACTGCTTGGTACCACGAGCATCTGAGGTCTTTTGAACTCATCTGTGACAGCAGTAACCCCTCTCTGTGTGTGGTGCAGCTGAAAGATCTAAATGATGTGTTCCCTCTTCCAGCATACCCATATGGTCAACATTTAGTAGTGACCCTCAAGCGTCATATTATATGCTAAAAAGCAACAGTGTGGTTTCTGCAATCAGTCTAGACTGTAAGGGAAGATTTTTATAGTCTGAGAAGGGTTTTATATTTTCCATAAATGTCTGACTATTTTATTAAATGTTTTTCTTGTACATTTCAGTAGGGGGACTTCTTAAGAAATAGACTAAAAAATTTAACTACCTTTTAAATCTCATGATAAATCATATTTTTCTTATCTTACATAGAACACCAACACAAACAAAGTCATTTACCACACAGACACAAGCAACACCAACAAAAAAACACACATTTTAATGGATGTACAACTTTAATCTCATGGACATCCATAGTTTTTTCCCCCCTCTGGATAGAACTCATAACCTGTTTCTGTGTTAGTGATAGTTCAGCTTGCAGTGTTTTCCCAACCCCAGTATGATGCACTCAAATATTTTGACTTGAAATCATAAACGCTTCTATCATTTAAGTTATCTTAATTATCTTCATAGTGCTGTTTCTTAAGAAAAAAAGTGTACCGAATTTATGCAAAAAATGCATTAATCAACTATTTTTGTGATGCACATAGCGATGGTTTAGCCGTTAAAAGACTTATTCTGTGTGTAAAGTTATATTCTAATTGTTGTTTCTATTTCCAAGATGACGGCTAACAAGAAGATGACCATGAGAGTAATTCTAGCAGAGGCAGATATAAGGAAAGTCATCCTACATTCAAGGCCTTCTACAGTAGAAGACTTGATAACCAAGCTTCGAGAGTCACTGGGACTTCAAAACAACTTCAGTCTCCAATTCCAAGACCCTGAATTCAATAATGAACTATGTAACCTAACAGATCTTCAAGAACTTCCAGAAAAACCAACCATTAAAGTCCTGCCTGTCTTAGACCTGGTACCTGTCTCATCTGATGAAGTCTTCAGCGACACAAGTACTGCAGATACAGAGATACTCTCATGTACACCTCAGGATCGACGTGAACCATGGCCAGAATTTTTTGACATTCCAACATTTTCTGTTGATGTGGAGTATAGACTGAGGCAAGCAGATTTGCTGTTTATGAGTGAAGGAACACACCTTAAAGTCTCAAAAGAACTGAAACATGAGATATTAGAGAGACTGGCAGAAAGCATGTATAGCTACACAGCATACCCAACTGCTGCTCAGTTTGAAAGTGTTGCAGCAGCACTGATAAGCAAACACCCCTGTCTCCAGGAGCGAGGCTCTGCCACTCGCTGTTGTGGTTGGAAAAATAGTCTAAAGCACAAAATGGGAAATTATAGAACAAAGCGCAGGCAATCAGGATGCCTTGATGTTGCAGTAAATGCCGGTAAGCGGGGAAGGCATTCATCAGATGGTCAACCAGCAAACAAGCGGATAAAAAAGGCAAAGAAAGGTGAAATCAACTACTTGCCCAACTTTCCGGATGGATTCGATCAAGCTGCCCTGGAAGAGGCCCGTAAGGACTTGGCTGATGAAATGCAGAAGAGAACCCCAAGTGGACTTCTTGTAAAACAAAAGATGGATCAGACTTTTGCTTTGAGAAGAAAAGAGGTTGTGGACTCTGAACCCCCCATTAACACGATGGTGAAACGCTGGCCTGCCCTCTTCACAGAAGATCAGGTATGTTCACAAAAGCAAAGATAACTAATAACAATCTGAGTTTTCTATAATGTGCCTAGATGTAGATTTTTTTGACCCCATAAGGAAAACATGGATGACTTTAATGTGGAGCATGTCGTTTATACATAGAAACATCAAAACTTCAAGTTCCATAAAAATGAAATTCATGGCTGTT